AATTTTACTGGTTCCTTGTATTCTGGTGGTTGCTGTATGAACTCTGAGTGTAGAGTAAGGTGGGAGTAGTGTTGCTAGCAGATCCAACAATCTGACCTAAAAAACGGAAATTTTCACTTTGGAAAAATTCCAATATAAGGTTATGAAAATTATAAAAAAAATTGTATCCTAAATGTACGTAAACGTGAACTCATTTTATTCAGTAACCAGATAAATTTGCTTACTTGTACTTTCTTCTTCTGGCTATAATTAAAAGTGAAAAAAAAGTTTGGTCTTTTTGAAAATTCAGTCAATTATTAATCAAACATTTAGAATGTACACCCTTTAACACCTTTATTTTATCAATAATGTGGAAGATATTTTCGTTTTTCTGGATTGAAAGTTTTACTGTATCAGAGCTAAAAAATCGGCTAGGAATTTAGCCGTAAAAGCGTTTTTTTCAGAGGAAAAATAAAAATTCCCCGAGTTTCTAATGACTTTAAATTCGGTGATGTTGATGGACTAAACCTCTGTAGAGTAAATAAAGTAGATGTTAGTTCCACATAATATTAAAAATATAATCAGGTCTTGGTTGACCCTCGTCAATTCTAACGATATAATAACCATCAAAATATTTTAAAAAAATCTATATTAAAAACCACAAGGAATTTAATAAACAAAACAGATTATTTTCAAAAAAAATGACCGTCAAGTGGACAACAGAGATAAGAGCACAGATCATGATCATGGAAGAAGATAATTTGAAAATATTCACTTTTTAAACAATGTTTTAAGACAATAAATATATCTGAGATTGTTTCTGCAGTTATGAAGATTAAAAACAAACTGTTTATATGTATGAGTAAAACGGTGGCGGGGGGGGGGCCTGTTTAAGATGGGATAAACCTTTAAAGGAAGTGACCGGCTATGTAAGTTAGATGAACTATAAGTATGCAGTGTTGTGGAAAACTTCTTTTGAACGTTAAATTTGCGCTCAAACTCAGGATTTACAGATCTTTAAAAAGTGAAATATGTCTCAAAAGAATCCGAAAGAAGTTTTCCACAACACTGCATACTTAGTTCATCTACCTTACATAGCCGGTCACTCCCTTTAATCCTTTGTAATAATCATTAACCCTATCCCTGCTGGGGTACTTGAAAACCAGGATATCGTACTTCTAATGATCAGTTATCAGTGATCACTGTCTCATAGAAAAAGGTAAACACAGTTTAGAATTTCGTCACCAATTATGAGATTGAATAAATTAAAAAAGAAGATAAATTACATAAAATGTTGTTTATATAAAACACTGTTTCAAAGACTGTTCTTACAGATACAAAAACTTTATGGAAATAATTACAAAACCTGGCACAAACAATTCTTATTAATATGTAAAATATAAATACGAAAAATGATAAATGATAAAATGTTATAACTAGCTTTGAGAATGGGTGAAGAGAAAACCACCCCCCAGAACCAGTGACGGACAATTTTTTAGGGGTTTTAAGCTATTTATAGGCACTATGCAAAAAACCTTCATGTAACATTTCAAAACTGTATTCTGTAAAAGTTTACTTTTTAAACTAATGTACAAAATTTATATCATATACTTTATCCTATAGGGTATGTAGTATGTACTCTCATATTAAAAATTATTAAAGCCTAACCTTTATCTTTATCTCAATGTCTCTTAAACATAAACCGATAAAGATAAGTTTTTATCCTACTCATGAAGACATCTTTTAGTTATCTAGTTATAAACAAACAAGAAGCTACATGGGGAGATTTTGGATATTTTTACTAGGCAATTTGCTATCTATCAGGTTTATACAAAATAACTTTTTGACAATGATTTTTTTTCAAATGTCCTTTTTATAGGGTTGATCATAGTAAAACTGTTTATGAATGAAAGTTTTAGAAAATGAATAGAAAGTTTGATAAAGAACAGAAAGAGGAATCTTAGTTTACAAATACACATCTAAGCACATCTTATTGACATATTTGGCTGGTCTCTTATGGTTATTTCAACTAACAGTTAACGAAGAAAAATAAAAAAATCTAACTTGCTATGAGTGTTTTTTTGTTTTGTTTTTTAACGGAGCACTGCCTAAATGTATCACAATAAAATGTTCTCACGTTTTACTGTATGATTGTTTTAGTTCTGCACAGGATCTAATAGATCCGGCCCAGTTTGCTTGGATTACTCCTCTTCTCGGAGATATATCAGAGGAGTGCAGGAATGCCAGTGAACAGTATAGAGATGATCTTATCGCTACTCTCCAATACGGAAGCTTGACTGAAGCAATCACAATGTTTGATTCTAATGGACGACTGCCGATGGAGGGTTTTCTATCTGATTATATAGAAATTCCTATTGATTTGTGCGCTGATACTGATGAATGCTTTCTGCCGGTAGCACTTAGTACTATTACTCTCAAACTCCCTATTGGATTCTCAAACCATCCGGGACATTTTGAAGGATGTCTGGGCGTCAAAGAAATTGAAACAAAATACTGCGCTGTATCTTTGAGAACCCCATCAAGCATGAGTGCATTTCCTTTTAAACAAACTCCTGCATATCAGACTCCATCATTGAAAAATATTGCCAGACTTCTAGATGAATACACAAGCATTAAAAGATTGTTAAACCATAATAATGTATTTCCACTGGTAGATGTATTGGATCCAGAGAGTATAAGCAAGTATAAAAAAAGTTTATCCAATTCTAAGATCACAGAAGAAGAAATAGATAAATTAATAGATAAGATACTTTTATTCTTCATGTCACTGTATGCTACACTATCAAGCCCAAGTATAGGTATGTGTTTTCCACAAAGCTGTACCACCTCAGATATCAATGAAAACTACCAAGTTCTGACTGAGCTAGCTTATGAAGATGTTATAATTACTATAAATGGAAACCCATTTCCTGTTTCTTTGAATGCAAATCTTAGCATTATGGCAGATGATTATTTTTGTTATACAAACGACGACAGAAGTAAAATGCCTGAAAAATTACCTGGTCTAAATATTTTCTTCTATGTTATCTACATTGTTATTGCAGTTCTCATTTTAAGTGGAACTGCTTATGACATTTTTCTGGTCAAATCAGCAACTCAAAAGAAAACAAAGAACTTCTCTGAGAAATTTGTGTTATGTTTTTCAGCCTATACTAATGGAAAGCATCTTATGTCTACTAAATCTGTTGGGACAGATCATTTGGATTGCTTGAATGGTATTCGATTTATAAGCATGACTTGGGTTGTGCTCGGACACAGTTTTTTAAGTGCGTTCAATGCAAGAAATATTGGAGCAGCCTTGGAACTATTTACAGGTGGAGGAGGGTTTGCTTTTGAAGCTATTGTCAATGCTTTACCCTCAGTGGACACCTTTTTTCTAATGTCTGCCACACTCACAACTTATATTCTTTTAAAAGAGCTTGAGAAGGCAGGCTCTGATCTTTCCAAACATACTATAACATTCATTATGTACTATGTTCATCGATATCTACGAATAACTATGCCGTATGTGCTGATCATGGGTGTTGTTATTGCTGTCCTACCATATCTTTACTCTGGCCCTGGCTGGGTTGCTATTGCCTATGAATCTGATCAATGTAGCAGTATGGGTTGGGCAAACTTGCTGTATGTGCAAACATTGTTGAACTCAACAATGAATAGTGCTTGTATGGGAGTTACATGGTACTTGGTAGATGATATGATATTTCATTGGTTGTCTCCAATTATTGTTTATCCAATGTTTATTTTCTTCTGGAGAACTAAAAAACATGTTCTTGGATTATCTTGGTGGTTTTTTTCCATGACATGCTTTACTGCAGGAGTTTTCTACATAGCATATTCAACTCGACTTCCACCAGTTGAGGGTTTACAGTTCCCAACATTAGAGACAGATTACACATATAAAGTAGAATTCTACTTTGTACCTTGGGCTCGTTACCAGGCATATCTAGTCGGAATCCTCCTAGGGTATATTCTTCATCATACGCGGGGAAAAGCAGTGAAAATAAATGAAGTTGTCAACATAATAATGTGGCAAGTAGCCTTCCTATCGGCTTTTGCAGTTGTATATGGATTATATGACGCACGGGTTACTTCAGAAATATCACTCTTCAGTGCCACGATGTACAATACATTTCAGCGAATAGCATGGAACTGTTCTGTGGCTTGGGTTATATTTAGCTGTGTGAAAGGATACGGAGGAATTGTGAATGATTTCCTCTCCTGGTCCTTTTTTGCACCATTGGCAAGACTCACATTTTGTGCATACCTGATCCATATGAATTTAATTCAGATGTTTGACAACTCTGTTATAAAGTCTTTTCCTTATGATTTCAGCATGTGGACAAGTGTTTGGTTTTTCCTTGGTTCAATGATGATTACATTAGCTGTAGCATTTGGACTTGCTCTTGTATTTGAGTCTCCAAGTGTTCGGGTAGAAAAACTAATCATTACAACACTTCTTCAACCTATTCTTCAGAATCAATCTCAACATAAGAAACCAGGATTCCCAAAGAAAAAAACACCAGGCTAGCAGAAATGGAGAGGGATTAAAGTATCAAGAGAAGAAAGAGCATGAAGAACATATCAAAACTGATATCAAAGGGGACAATGAAGTGTAAGAAAAAGAATTGTTATGTAATCATTACTTTGTTTCAGATTAATATATGCATTTTTAATCATAAAAAAATCATGATAAATTTGACAACCTGGTTGTTTTGATAAAGTTTTTAATTTATGGATAGATCCAGAAAGTATCTGATGAAACAATGAAATTTCAATAAGAAAATGAGTTTTGGACTAATAAATACCATGATACATGAAATATCTGTTGTAGGAAAGAAATAAAGGTCCCATGCCACAAATGTGTCAATGTATTTTATATTTTTTGGACAGCATACATTAAACACAGAAAATCCCAAAAATATCTATATAATAAAGCTCTTTGCTCATATATATGATAGGTTTTTTTTCAGGATAACCATGGGTAACCATGGGGAAACAAGGCTATTAAGATAATATTTTTTTCTTTTCAAAGTCAAATTTTTTTAACTAATTTTTTTTTCAAAATTTGGAAGTTACATTATTGAAGAGTTTTTAAAAAGCGACAGGCAACGCTGGGCACTTTAGTTAGTGACAGCGACAAAGAAAAAGTATGGTGTTTTTTAGTTTAGTGACAGCGACAAAGAAAAAGCATGGTGTTTTTTAATTTAGTGACCGACAAAGAAAAAGTATGGTGTTTTTTAGTTTAGTGACAGCAACAAAGAAAAAGCATGGTGTTTTTTCAGTTTAGTATTAAATTGAAAAAGAATGTTTAAATTACAACAATATATATCCTTGCTCTAGAAAATTGTTAAAAATAAGGGCTGGGTAAGTTACATTAACAAAAGAAATTTTTAAAAATTATGAAAAATTTTGTCAATGGGAAATTTTAAAAAACCAAGGAGCACCTTTGATCTTTAAAAACCCAACAGCTGATATTGCTAATTTGAATGCCTATTCACATGGGCAGCCGTAGTACATTTGAATTTCCGAGCCGGGTCAACCTATCTGGTCCCACTTTGTACTATTCCTAGCTCTGGAGTGGACAGCCCATTGCAACAAGGTTGATGCGTTCAGACTTTATGTTTCATATAGGTTGAATTTACTTTTACCAAAGGGGTAGAGGTGCTACAGGGTTACCATCAAAGGATGGAGAGACTGTAAAAATGACTTGAAACTCTTTTAATATGATGCAATTTCAATGTTAAATTAAGTCTTCTGCAGCTTACATATTTCCATTTTCTGGTTTATCTTATGATTTGGCAATAATGACAAAAGTTTGATGTTGAAAGGAATCAGATACTTTATAAATTCCGTACAGTCTTCTCTAAAGTACGTAAAAAGAAAAGACTTTTTGAAAGTTGAGACCAAAAACTTGTATTAGATGGCTGCATAGATAAAGACAGATTGCGCATAAGACGACATTTTTCATCTTGAAAGATATAAATGAACAGACTACAGAGATGTTTTGAAGATATTCCTATTATATAGATTGACTAGGTCGGTTGTGAACATTGGCTGTTCTTATGTCATTGAGTACTTGTGGAGTACATGAGTTCTGTAGAGAGAAATTTAAGTTAGTTTAGTCCTTCTCATGTCCTTCTTCAGTTCTCGTCAATATGATATATTGCTCAGTGAAATATTGTTGTTCAATTAGTTCCATTCCGGGAGTTATTTTAATGGATTATGAAATCCATCAAAACACCAAATCACCCCGCTTATCATTGAAGTACACTTTGACCCCTAGAAGTATGAGTTCGCGGACTGTACAATTCTTGGTGATTTTGCGTACATTACCTATCTATGTTTATTTAAATGTGATAAACTCAGTTTGAAGGTTTACATATATTTCCAGTTCATGATATTAACAAGGGAATACTGATAAGTTACAGCAGGTATTTATACTGCAAAATTGATGATGTTTTGTTCACATCTAGTCTCATCAGAATCTTCCGTGTAAAGTTTTACCGCTACAAAGTTACATTTACAAAGAAAAAGTAATTGTGAAAATAAATTAATAATCAATAAGTTATTAACATACAATTATTTAAAAGGACCGTAATCGTAATTTCAGATGACTTTAATTAATATTATTATGTAAATTATATATATATATAGTTTTGAAAAATATAATTATAAAGTAATAAAACGAAGAGGTAAATCCAGTGGCGGATACAGGGGGGCGGGGGGAATTCGCCCCCCCTGACAGATGTTCCCAGAGGCAAAAAATGTTCCCAATTTAATAAATTGTATGTGTTTTTCAATTTCAAGCTATTTGTTTTTTATTTAATGGAAATCTTGACTTTCTTTTCTTCAGTTTAATTTAAAAATCAACGACAACAAGTAAATGTTATTGTTAACGATAAATTTAGAATTAGAAAGTTGTAAGAAACTAGACTTAAGTTATTATATTGTTCATATCTAGTAATGTTCCTTAATCAATACTCATTTATCAAAATTGTAATATTGTTCCTAATTTTCATACATTTAAGTACAACTAGTAATTTCTTTTTGTTCTTAAATTGCTAATGTTCCTATTATTGTTCCTGTTCCTAATACTGTGTCCGACCCACCTTAAATCCCTGTACTAATCCAATATTTTTGTTCTTAATTCCTGAACAATCTTTTTATTGTTCCTAAATCCCTGTCCTAATCCATTATTTTTGTTTACGTATCTAACACTGTATCACTTGTATATAGAGTGATCGTATTTCTTGGGGGGTGTTATGAAATTGACAAATTTTTAGATTTTCTTTATTTATTTATTATTTTTCATTTATTATTCTTTATGTTGACTGCAAACATTTGTCAACTTTCAATTTGTCATTTGTCAACTTTTGTAGGTTTTCAACTTTTTAGCTAAAACTTAAATAGCTTAATAAATTAGCTTAAACTTGAATAACATTCTTATTTGAAACATTTTTATTCTTTCTTCTCTTCAACTCTTCTTAAGGGGGGAGGGTGCTTGCCCCCCCCCCATTGCCACCCCTAGTTGCGCGCCTGTTATTCTGTGAACAAACAAATTCAAACTTTTACTGAAGTACTGAAAAAAAACTGGATGGGTAGTTAACAAATGAACTGAAAAAAAACGATCTTTAATTGCGACCTTCTTTCAATTATGTTAAATGCTAAAACATTATAAATTAAACAATACAGTAAATTCATTTTTATATCACCTTAAGTTAAGATAATGGTGTTGCATTTTTCTTCAAACTTAGTTTATCTCCTGACTAATATCTCCTTCTTTAAAATGGTTTGAGCAAATACAACTTATAATAATAAATAATAATAAATGCTTTCACAAAATATGACATTTTGACGGAAGACCAACGGCTGAGGGTCGGATGGTAAAGGTGTAAGCGCATGCCGCATGTGAAGTCATCTGCGGGTCGGATGTTAAACGAGTGCGGGTCGCCATCCCCCCCTCTCTGAGGGCTGAAAGGGAGTAGGTATCACTTTACTAAATCAAAGAATTATCTAAAAAGACGATATCGAATTCGTCACTGAATTCCCATGTTTTTTGGGACACCCTGTAGAGTAATCTAATTAGAGGGTTAGGAACATATTTCACAAAAGAAATTTGTCAATAAATCTATGCTAAAATCGATTATTTCGTTTTCATTATTATATTGAATTTATAATTTTCTTTGAATTTATTCGCAGATTTCTTCAAATCCTTTTAATGTCGTCTTTTCAATAATAATTATAGAAAATCTGCGAACATCTTTGTGAATAACAAGAAACTAGAATAATGAGATAATAGAAACTAATAATTGAACAAGATTACTTATTTTCGATGATAAGATTAATTTTTATTTTCTCAAAATGTTCCTATACATGACGTCTGTAGTTTATTGTAGAATATTTTTACATTTTATGTCGTCCTTAATTAATAATTAAAAAAAAACTAATTCTGAAAGCGTATCCACCCCCAAATCAGGAGTTTTGAACGTCGAATTTGCGCTCAATCTCAGGATTTACAGACTTTTAAAAAGTGAAATATGTCTCAAATGAATCCTAAAGAAGTTTTCCACAACACTGCGTCCTCAGTTCAACTACCTTACATAGCCGGTCACTCCCTTTAAGTTAATCCTGTGGTCGGAGCCCAGGAAAGATAGCCATAAACTGAGGAGTTCCCACATTCGTTATAAAGATCAAGCGTTTTAATGTATAGATAAAAGCTATCGAATTTAAAACTTTTAATCTCTAAAAAAATGCTTGATCGATTACTCGATTACTTGATCGAATGATTAATTACTCAATTAAATGATTGATTACTCGATTAAATGATTTATTACTCGACTAAATGATTAATTACTCGATTATATGATTGATTACTCGATTAGATAATTTATTACTCGATTAAATGATTTATTACTGGATTAAATGATTAATTACTCAATTAAATGATTTATTACTCGATTAAATGATTTATTACTCAATTAAATGATTTATTACTCAATTAAATGATTTATTACTCGATTAAATGATTGATTACTCAATTTAATGATTGATTACTATTAATTACTCGATTAAATGATCAATTACTCGATTAAATGATTTACTACTTGATTAAATGATTTATTTATCGATAACATGATTTATTACTCGATTAAATGATTTATTACTCGATTAAATGATTGATTACTCAATTTAATGATTGATTACTCGATTAAATGATTCATTACTCGATTAAATGATTGATTACTCAATTTAATGATTGATTACTCAATTTAATGTTTGATTACTCGATTAAATTATTGATTACCCAATTATATGATTAATTACAGGATTAAATGATTAATTACTCGATTAAATGATTGAGTACTCGATTAAATGATTGATTACTCGATTAAATTATTAATTACTCGATTAAATGATTAATTACTCGATTATATAATTGATTACTCGATTAAATAATTGAAAACTCAATTAAATGATTTATTAACCGATTACATGATTGATCTGGTTTAAAGAACCTGCTCGAATATGCAGGGAATACTCGGGGGATCCAACGCATTTAACTACATTAGGAATTGATTAATTTTTCAGTCACCATTTATTTCTGAATTTAATTTGATTTTTGTTAAAGAAATTGGAGTATGATGTTGCTAAATACTCCAGTCTGTGGTTGAACATTTTTTTTCCATATCTAGACAAAGAATTCTGAGTTGGTAAGGGCAAACCATAAGGACAAATACTTGATGAGACTTTAAGGTGGGTGTACTCTATAAATTAATAACATTACAGATGGAACGGTAGATGTCGTTTTTCAAGATTTGGGTTTTTTTTTGTTCACAATAACCCTGGGGCAGAAGCCCAAAGGAGTTGCTCATATGCGGCGTAGAACTGGCTCTTTCTCTAGAGCATGCATTTAACTCCTTTTGGCCATTGCCTTAGTGAACGAAAAACCCCCAAATCTTGAAAAGACTACATCAAGTCGTCCATCTGTTATTGTTATTAATCTATGGTGTGGTCCAATAGTTAATACACATTTTCTAGACTCCATTCCCAAATAAGTATTATTTACTGCTATTATTAAATATTATAATACAATTTACTGCAGAATTATTAATTACAAAGTTATCAATTGAAGTGTCCCAGGGTTTCTCTAAACAAAATTCAGTAAATTTGGTTCAGCCGTTTGGGCAGCTATAGCTAAGATATAAATATTAATATGAGCGAAAAGCTTTATTATACAGAATAGAGTACACAAGGGTTTAATAGATTTCAATACACGTTTCATCACTAGTAGCGCTAGTACAGGGTTACCAACAAAGAATGAGACTGCAAAGACGACCTAAAACTAATTAAACGTGATGATTTCCAGGATGAATGAAGTCATCTGCTTTGAAAATAGTCGTTAAATGACTTATTTAATGATTTGACAAAGAGTGAAGCAAGTTTTCAGTTGCGGGGCACCAGGGATGTAATTGACAGTATAAATTCCCTACAGTCGTCTCTGAAGTCTCACGCTTTGTGGGTAACCCTGTATTTAACTGATTTATTACTTTTAATTAATCCCTGCAGTTTCATCATGGCAATCCTGACCCTGGTGGTAAATGTCAACAACAATGTCAACAACAACAATAACAACGTTAATGGGGTAAGTAGAGTACATTAGTTAGTGTAACAATAAAAAATTTAACTAAATGCAAAAGCAAAAATTTATAAAGATTTGAAAAGTTCAAAAGTAAAACTAAAGTCAATCACAAAGCCTTTTAAAAGTCACCGACAATTGTGAAAAATTTACTTGAAATCACCGAACTTTATTACAAAATATATTAATATAGTTTAAATTACCGACGTCTTAATTAAAATTAAGTTTAAATTTTATATCATGAATTACCATAAGTTACTATTTTTCACTTATTTCAATTGACCTTCCATTTAGCAGAAAACCCGGAATTAGTTGAGAGTTAATTAGGCGATTTTTCATATATCTCTGGCAATTTTAAATGCTCAAAAAAGGCAGACCACATTTTGGAAATGATCGGACTAATGCTATTTAGTAATTATCGTTTCATCAATCATATTTGTTGCATTAGATTGTAAAGTCGTTTGATTGATTAATTAAAAATTAATTCCGGGTCTTTCTGATTAGCACTGTATGTTTAAATCACAATAGTAACATTTAAACCTTTGTCGTTTTTTATCTATAAAACGGAATGTTTTCAATTCTGCTTCGTCTTTCTGTTTTTTTTCTGTTTTTTTAATTTGTTGCTCAGATAAAAGTTTAAAGAGGGTATAGTTGTGAATCGGAGATGCCATTTTATAAATGCAAGTTTGAATCACCGACATTAACATAAAATCTAATTTTAATTACCGATAATTATTAAGTAATCTAGTTTTAATCACTAACAATTATCAAGTAATTCATTATCATCACCGACATGTATTAAGTAATTCATTTTAATAATTATAAAAGAATCCATTTTAATCAAAGATAATTGTATGGTAATTATTTTTCAAAATCAACATTTATCAAGTAATCCATTTTAAAAATATCAAGCAATCCATTTTATTCACTAACATTTATCAAATAATCCATTTTAAACACCAATAATTATCAAGCAATCCATTTAATCACCGAAAACATGCAAGTAATCCAGTTTAAATCACCGATAACTATCAAGTAATCCAGTTTTAATCACCGATAATTTCTAAGTAGTCCAGTGGCCGAATTTAAAGAATTTGAGCGGCGGTTTAAATTTAAGCCACGGTTTAAATATGGTTGGTCCCACTTAAAATTGTTTCAAATGTTTTAAATTGTATTAAATGATTTAAGCCGGCGCTTAATTTAAACCGGGTTTTTGTGGATTTAAACGGTGGCTCAAATTCTTTAAATTCCATCTCAGCTTTAATTTCCAATAATTATTAAGTAATTCATTTTTAATCACCGATAATTATCAAGTTATCCATTTTAATCACCGATAATTATTAAGTATTCCATTTTTATCCCCGACATTTATCAAGTTATTCATTTTAATAATAATCAAGTAATCCATTTTAATCCCAGAAAACTATCAAGTAATCCAGTTTTAATCACCGATAACTATCAAGCAATCCAGTTTTAATTACCGATAACTATTAAGTAATCCGGTTTTAATCACCGACATTTATTAAGTATTTCAGTTTTAATCACCGATAATTATCAAGTAATTTATCACCAATAATTATCAAGGCGAATGTAAACACGGCAAGTAACAACAACGCGAACGCTAACTCTAACAACAATAACGCCAACGTTGTAAACGTCATGCCTCCTGGGAAAAAGAGAAAAAGGTAAAGCAAAAAAAGTCATAAACATAAAATGTATCTACAGTATTCTCCTATTTATCAATATTTCAATGTTGATTTCCAACAAGCTTTTAAACAACATGGATACACATAATCATGAAAACAAAGAAATCAAAGAATCAAAAAACAGTTTCTATTAGTTTACTTGTAAAATTGTAATTTGAAAAAATCTCGTTAACAATCAAATTTTGCGTAAAAAGTCGTCTTTATTGTGTTAAAATAAACGCCGCCCACTATTTACATAAAAGAGGACTCCAAGTTATCGCTTAAAAATGTTCCTGAGGTCCAGAATGATATAACATTTTTTGATCACTGCACATATAGTGATATAGCTATACTATTGATATTGAGAATCTGTTGCATTTACTGCAATATCACTACCTCTCGTATAGTGATATTGCATTCGCTGCAATATCAAATTACGAGAGGTAGTGATATTGCATTCGCTGCAATATCAAATTACGAGAGGTAGTGATATTGCATTCGCTGCAATATCATTACCTCTCGTAATGTGATATTGCATTCGCTGCAATATCACTACCTCTCGTATAGTGATATTGCATTCGCTGCAATATCCCTACCTCTCGTAATGTGATATTGCATTCGCTGCAATATCATTACCTCTCGTATAATGATATTGCGAATGAAACCGATTCTCTTTTTCAGTAGCAAAATCACTACCGTGCATCAGATTTGTATTCAGTGCAGAAAGAATTTCTGTAGAATTCTCGTTTTTGCCAGAAAATCCGGGGTTTATGGTATAAACATATAGATTTCTATGGACTATTCACTGTTCAGTGTACAACATGCATGATATCAGATTAACCAATCATAAATATTTAAAATTGAAAACTTTTATTTGTAATTTAGCGGAAATTATTTTCACAACCCTTGGGCCGTGAAGCATGCATGAAACCCATTTTTTAGATTATTTTGATAAAAGTTTTCTGTCTAAACCTCAGGGACATCTTCCAGCAGGAAGTAGGTACAGTGATAACCAGAAAACTCTGAAATAGGAAGACGATTTTAAAAATCAAACACTCCAATTAAGTTAAGCTTTTTGCTTTGTGACAATGTCAAATACATTAAAGTATTGCTAAAATGTCGTTTTCCTATTCCATTGTTTTCTAGTTTAGCTATTTGCTTTGTTACATTAAATACACTTTAGTATTGATTTAATGTCGTTTCATTATTCTACAGTTTCTGGTTATCACTGTATTAGCTGTCATTTTAAAGCCTTATCCCAGCAAATAATGAGATTTATAATTGATATCCTACTTTTTGTTATTTAGAAGAGAATTTAATCCCTTGGATGAATACACCAACAAAATTTGCTCCAGAGCAAGAGCAGAAACAGGTATAAATCTGGTCCAGAGCAGGGGCAGAAACAGGTATAAATCTGGTCCAGAGCAGGAGCAGAAACAGGTATAAATCAGGTCCAGAGCAGGNTCTCTCTATAAGGCAGTAATGGAACTAGATAACTATAAATCTGGTCCAGAGCAGGGGCAGAAACAGGTATAAATCTGGTCCAGAGCAGGGGCAGAAACAGGTATAAATCTGGTCCAGAGCAGGAGCAGAAACAGGTATAAATCAGGTCCAGAGCAGGGGCAGAAACAGGTAAAAATCTGGTCCAGAGCAGGAGCAGAAACAGGTATAAATCTGGTCCAGAGCAGGGGCAGAAACAGGTATAAATCTGGTCCAGAGCAGGGGCAGAAACATTTGCCTAATTTCAGGGTAAAAATTCAGTGTAAATCTTTTTTAAATTGTTTATTCTAAAATTTGCTTTTCTTACACTATATCAAATTTGGACCCTGTTCCCTGACAGGAGATATATTTGGACCCTGGTCCCTGACAGAAGATATATTTGGACCCTGGTCCCTGACAGAAGATGTATTTGGACCCTGTTTCCTGACAGAAGATATATTTGGATCCTGGTCCCATGACAGGAGATATATTTGGACCCTGGTCCCTGACAGGAAGATATATTTATACCCTGGTCCCTGATATTTGGACCCTGGTCCCTGACAGGAAGATATATTAATACCCTGGTCCCTGACAGAAGATATATTTGGACCCTGGTCTCTGACAGGAAGATATATTTGGACCCTGGTCCCTGACCGGAAGATATATGCAAATAACGATCCAAAAACGGCTGCGTGTTGTAACAATCGTCTTTGGAGCGTTTTCCCAATTTATTTATAATTAAATTTTAACAATATACAATTTCGAAAAATCGAAATCTTAACATTTTTATTTATTTTTTATTTCGATCCCAATCGATAACAAAATTATTAAGATTCATATCATGATATAATTAATAATAACAGAGAAACTTAAGTTCTTTCTTTCAGCCATAGAATATAGCGGCAAGATTTTTGTAATTTGTAGGTGCGTTATTTTTATGTGCTCTGAAACCAGATATAGTGAGAATCGCAGCTGAACTACGCAACATATTTGAACCACTTCTCTTGTGAGCTGGTTGAACTACGCAGCATATTTGAACCACTTCTCTTGTGAGCTGGTTGAACTACGCAACATATTTGAACCACTTCTCTTGTGAGCTGGTTGAACTACGCAACATAATTGAACCACTTCTCTTGTGAGCTGGTTGAACTACTCAACATATTTGAACCACTTCTCTTGTGAGCTGGTTAAACTTAAATAGAATTAGTTCAGTTTAGTCTACGTAGTTCAATTCTAATTGAAAAAAAGACAAGACGACATTTCTTTTATTATTATCCACCGCAACTTTAATTTTCATTTTTCACATTTGGAAAGAAACATTGCCATGCAATAGTTTCTCCGTTGCTTCCTATAAGCAAGAAATGCGCGACTCAATTTCGCAGAAAAACCGCAAATGAAAATAAACAGTTTAAATAAAGAAAGAAAAAAATAATACCCAGTAAACATAGTTGGGAACTTTTTTCCATGAAACCATCTGAGGACCTATTCCCCAGAATTTCCCTGATATTTCTCCGATGTTGAGTCCCAAATTTAGAGAATTATTGGGGATCAATTTCTCGTATTCTCGTTTCCCCTTTTTTATGATAAATTCCTAGAGAAATTAATTTCGAGAATTTCATCTTCAATAAAGCTGGAGATATTCTGGAGACAAAATTCTCCAAATCTTAGTTGCGAGAAAAAAAAAGAAAATAGGTTGCTCTCAAGAAAGGTAAAAATATTCCCATTGATTTTCTCGAGGTTCGGTTACAGATTTATTATGTTTATGGGTATGTAGACTGGGGTGTATACTCTCTCCTTAAATATTTGCAATTGAGAGTGTCGGCTATTTTTCTTTTGCATTTCAAGCTTTTTATTAGACAAAATTTTTTCTAAAGTATACTAAGATACATTTTAGTTTAAACTTTAGTGCAGTCACAGTGTAGGCGTATGTATTCCTCAACAGGTAAAAACTTCTACTTCTCAAATAATTTAGTTATAAGTTTACACAGCGATGAAAAAGATTAAAGTGACAGTGTATGAGTTGCTATAAGAAAGGTAAAAAGGGTAATTTTATTCTTGTCTATTATACTAATGCATGGTCTGTTATCGGAAAATGTTTCTTCTGTTTAATGTTTATCAATACATTATTCATCTTTACTATTGAAATGAATTGTGTTTTTTAATAACTTAACCAACAAATTTAAATAGAGGAAAGCCTTACTATTGACAAAAATTATGTAAAATATGTTATGAATTATAAGTGACTGCATCTTTTTACAAAGTAATTGAGTATTTGCCACAAACGTGACTCTGATTCTCAAATTCCTATATCTTTGCAACACAATTTCGTAGACCTTAGATTTTTCATCCTTTAAATTTTGTTAGATAAAAATAATTTGAATTCAATGATATAAATGATTTAAAACGCCTGGTAACAAAGAT